ATATTTATATTGTCATTGAACCTGGGTCCTCAGCAAGAGCATCAAGTGTTCTAAACCGCCGAGCCATCTAGAGCCTAAAGTTATCTAAATTTGCTGTTTAGATTTAAAAATATATATGTATATATTTTAAATCTATATGTGTGTATATGGGTATTTTGCCCATAATATGGGTATTATGTGTCTGCATATGTGTGCTGGTACCCACCGATGTCAAAAGAGGGTGTCAGATTCCCTGGAACTAGAGTTAGATAGTGATAGGCTTTATGTGGCTGCTGGGATAGAACTCAGGTCCTCTGGAAGAACCCCTATCTCCAGCTCCCACCACCACATTTTGAGTTCTGGGATAACAGATGTGTATTACCACTCTGGCTTATGGTGGGGATTGAACCCAGAGTTTGTATGCTAGGCGAGAGGACTCTATTAATCCTGTGCCCAATCCTGGAAATATTTTCTCTCCTTCCTTTCTTCTTTCCTGTTTTTGTTCTTCATTTAGCACTGGCTGCCCTGGATTGCAGTTTGTAGACCAGGCTGGCCTTGAACTCAGACAAATCTGCCTGCCTCTGCCTTCTGAGCTGTGTGTTACTGGCCTGTCCCACCACGCCCAGCTCCACCAAGTCAGTGAAATCTGGTAGGAGGTGTGTCTTCCTTTTTTTTTTTTTCCAGTATTGGACACAAGTCTGTCCTTAGGGGTGGGAAAGTTAGCACTGTTAGTATTCTATGCCACCCGCTGTGCAGACCATAATAAAAGACTAACCTGGAAGAGAGAAGGAAATTCGTGAATCTAGCAGGGACTGAAAAGATCCCCTGGATATTAACATCTGAGACATACATTTAGGGAGCTCGAGTATCAGTGTTTGCAGGAAGAAAGAAGAGCTGCAAGAGTAGTGCATATATAAGGAGATGCAAAAAAGACTGCATATGACAGCAAAAATGCCAGCATGCCTTTTTAAGGCCTGTGAAGTTTGAACTGCAAGCCAGCCTTAGAAAGTAGCTCCCCAGGGGGCTGGCGATGGCTCCAGGGCTTCTAACATGCTCACACAAACCTACCTGCTGGTAAAACACCAATGAGCATAAATTTAAAAAGAAAGTAGATCCCTGAGGAGATGGATGGCTTTTCTTCAAAAACCACTGTAAGTTTGAATCAAGAGCCATGGCTATATAAAGAATCCCCAGTTGGGCATGCTGGCTCAGGCTTGTACTAGCATAGAGGTTTGAGGATCCCTGTAAGTTCCACACAAGCTTGGGCTGTACAGCTGATCAGGAAACAGGTTGTATGTAACATTAGGTAGAGTGGTTTTCTTTTATTATTATTATTTTTATTTATTTATTAAAGATTTCTGTCTCTTCCCTGCCACCCCCTCCCCCAATCAACTCCCCCCTCACTCATCAGCCCAAAGAGCAGACGGGGTTCCCTGCCCTGTGGGGAGTCCAAGGACCTCCCACCTCCTTCCAGGTCTAGTAAGGTAAACATCCAAACAGCCTAGGCTCCCACAAAGCCAGTACGTGCAGTAGGATCAAAACCTAGTGCCATTGCTCTTGACTTCTCAGCAGTCCTCATTGTCCGCTATGTTCAGTGAGTCCGGTTTTATCCCATACTTTTTCAGACCCAGTCCAGCTGGCCTTGGTGAATTCCCGAAAAGAAAAACATAGACATCCTCCTGGATATTAACCTTCATCAGGTGATGAAAGGAGACAGAGTCCCACATTGGAGCACCAGACTACAACCCCAAGGTCCAAATCAGGAGCAAAAGGAGAGAGAGCACGAGCAAGGAACTCAGGGCCATGAGGGGTGCACCCACACACTGAGACAATGGGGATGTTCTTTCGGTAGAGTGGTTTTCTAACATTCACAAAGACATACAGAAGATCAAGTTTGGTGATAATTCCAGCACTTGGGAGGTGCTATATATAGAGTCTGAGAACAGCCTACATGGAGCCAGTGCTACACGAACCCTGGTCTCACGTTGTCTCCAAAGATAAAAAGAGCTTTGGTAAACAAAGGTGCATCATGCCATGCCTGTAGATCTGGGTTCAGTCCCTGGACCCATATGTAGAAGAACTCACATACGTATGTGTGTGTGTGCCCCCAAAAAATGTGCGTTTAAAAAAAAAAATAGAAGTTTTTTACCCTACCTCCATTCCCCACTGATGAAGATAGAATTCTAGGACTTTGAATATGCCAATTTTTATCATAAAGCTAATACAGTTTTATGTTTTAATGGAACTTTCATTTTATTTGCAGGCTTTTGGTTTGGTTTGGTTTTTCAAGACAGTTTCTCTGTGGAGCCTGCCCTGGAACTTGTTCTGTAGACCAGGCTGGCCTCAGACTCACAGAGGAGATCTTCCTGCCTCTGACTCCCAAATGCTTTGATTAAAGGCGTGTGGCTCCACCACCTGGCTAGACCGGGAATTGTTATTTGATCAAGGAGGATTTCTAGACCCAAGAATTAAGACGGTTCTGATCCATGACTTTATTTTTTTAATATAAAATCTCTTCCATGTGTCTAAGTGCACCACTTCTTTGTCTTGTCTTCAGAAGTCAGATTCCCTGGAACCGGAGCTACAGGCAGTTATGAGCCACATCATGTGAGAG